AATCACTTACTGTTATTAAAGGTAAAAAAACAAAATTGAAATTTATTAGATAATTATTAATTAAAAAATGTGACCACAAATTAAAAAATTAAAATGGGTAAATTTGTAAATAAAATTAAAAAATTTTAATCCGTTAGCGATTTGGTATAAAAAGCTATATAAACTAGCTTTTTCAATCCGCTAGCGGTTTGAACTCTAATCGCTATCCGTTAGTCTCAAACCGTTAAATAAAAATTTTACTAAACACTTTATTTATAATGGTTTCGAAATATATAAATTTACCAAACACTTATATTTAGTAGTTTAAGTAAAACCACTAACCGCTACCCTAAAATCGCTATATCAAACGGGGCCTAAGACTAATTAATCAAAATAATTTATTTAATTGAAGGGTTAATTATGAATGATTTTATATTACAATTTTTTTTTCACTTTTTATTGAGCCAACCCACAAGACTATAGCAGTCTTAGTGGGCTAGGCCCAATTCCCTTTTTTGGGTTTTTCTTTTATTATGATATTTAATTTAAAAGGCCCGTGGGGCATGACCCATGACCCATTTCATATCCCCTTTTTTAGGCTTTTTTAGTCCATAAGACATAAATTTATTAGATCGGGTCAACCCGACCCACAAACATGACCCATATACCTAAACGGGTAAAAATAGATCAAAACCGAGATTGAAGTTGGGAACTTAGGGCTTATACTGCTCGTCCAAATTTTACCAAAGAAAACCTTAAATAATTTCATCAATCCATTACCAGATCTATGACCCCAACAAAACAGAATAAAAATAAGGCAAGAAAACATCCTCGATTCTCACTCACAATGACATCAATTCATATAGATCCATCCAAGCAACCCACAAAATACAGAGAAAAGATCAAAATCACTGGCGGGGTTTGGAGGGGAAGATCAGAGTCCGATCTGGGATACCCTACCCACGGGATAGTCCCCATATCCGTCTCCTCACTACCTCTTCATGTTTCCTCTATTCCTCACTACCTATCCGTGATTCCTCTGCGCTCGAGTAGGTTTACTCGCACGACACGCGCCGGGGAGGCCTCCTTTTGGCCATCAGATCCGCCCTTCATGTCATCATTTTTCAGTGCCTCGGTTCTCCGGGATAAATTTTTGGAAGTTCAGCGCGGCTGTAGGTCAAGAGAAGATTTTGAGAGCCAACCCATGAGAGTTGCTCGCACCATTCTATTTCTACTGGCCATTCTCGCGACGACTAAGATTTAGAACTTCGAATGAATCGGTACATTCAGGGAGTAGCAAGATAAAAAATAGTACCGATTAATCCGGATTCGACTCGAATTGTGCACTTAAAAATGATGGATGAGTCTCCAATAAGAACCGTTACATATACAAAGTCTCAAACTCAAGTTAGAATAAATCCTTTATCACTTTATGCAACCCATCGTTGGTAGCCTCAGAAACCGACCGGAAACCAAAAAAAAATAGTTATCTTGTAGTGCAACTAAAAATTAATCAACCAAATTGAAAAATAAAATAAAAAAACATAAAGTATTACCCAAGCGGTGAAAAAAAATTAAAATCGAAAGGCCGAAGCGTGGAAAGGAACTTAAAAAGTCGTGCACACCAGCGAGGCGTTTACACACAAAACCGGTTAAACCGGTCAACAAGACGCCTAATGCCCCAAGTGATTAGCGCCTAAAAGCCAACACCGTCTTGCTCTTTTCTAAGTACTTTTTAAGAGAAAAATTGTTGTGCTATTTGCAATAAAAAAAAATTAAGATTTCTTAA